CAGTGTCAGGAACTATGGTAAACTTAGATTTATTTGCTTTAAACGCAAACATACATCACACAACAAATTAAATGAACAAAGCAAATATAATTAATTCAAATTAAAAGGGTAAACAAAAGACCCTGTTCACAATTTGTGCAAAGATTTAGAAGGTCCTCTCTTTTTGGAAAATATAAGTCTGATTTTACCTCATAAGGTCCTCTGCTGACAAACTCAGTCCTCACTGTGTCAGAGTGGATGYCAGCAGGATCATCGGGCTGCTTTGATGTCAACCTGAGAGGCACTATTAGCCCCTCCCCCGTCAGAGTGCTGGAGCAGGATGAGTCAGTGCAACGTCAATCAAATGAGAGAGAAGATGGGGGCGATTGTTGCATTGGGGGGCGGGGGAATGTTTTATGGGTAGAGTAGTTTATTTTTCCTGTAATACTTCATTATTGTTTTTTAAGACAAAGCTAGTTGAAAGGGGCGCTGAGCAGAGTTACAACCAGGGTTTACAAATAATTAAGTTTTTTTCTTCTGCAGTTTGGCGCCCCCTCCAGCAGATGGCGCTCTAGGCGACCGCCTAGTTCGCCTATGCCAAGAGCCGGCTCTGTCTAGGGTGAGTCAAAATTCACGGGACACCTTTTATTTTGATCCAATATGGCAGCCACGTTCTGGACATAGTTTAAAAAGAACCCTCACCTACTCCTTGATGGGGTGTTTAGATATTTCATTTTCCCATTTCTTTCTGAAATAAAAGGTTGTCCTGTGACTTTTGACTCACCCTGTTTATGGTGAAAATGTTTGTTAATAAAGCTAAAAATGTTGAAAAGTATAAAAGTTACCAAGCCCAAAAGTCGTAGCACCCATCTCCTAAATGAGTTAAACATTTTGATAAATGAATGTTTAAAATAGCTCAAAGTATTCAGATGTGTAAATGTAATGTGTAAATGCTGAATCATCACATAATAATTACTGGGTTTTACAGAAGAAATGTATGTTTGAATTTCAGACAGTAGCTACTCTGGCAACCTTCAACAGTCTTTAGACATGTTCTCATGATATTTTACAATCCTGTTGTCTTTTTCTTTAGTGTCGGCTCCCACAGCAGTGCATGTGTGTGTCTGAYGGGTTAAAGTGTGCAGCTGGAGGTCAGGACTGCCGACTTTAAATCAGAGTCACAGACTCCGCTCCAGCTCGTGTTTACCTCTGATAACCCAAAGGCCTCCACATCCACTATCAGCTTGACTTGTGTTGAAACTTCAGAGGGTCAAGGAGGAGCAGGAGCTCGGTTTCACACACTCCTGTCAATGCAGCGCGGGGAAACGTATCCAAAACGCAGGATTTTTAAAAATTTTTTCATTCGTAATTAAGGCACTGTTCCATCAGCGATGGTAGAGTTTTGATCTTATTTTTTGGAAGATGGGATCTTTCTGGTCTTCTGCTAGAAGATAAAGCAAAGGAGTGTTTCTCTCATGAATAAATCATTAATGAAAGGATCGGTTGTAATCTTCTCAGCTTGTAAAGGCAAGGAAAAAAATGCGGCTGACCCTGGTAAATCATTGACCAGGACCTTACCCAGATTAAGCCCACAGAGTCGAGCGCACAGATGCACCATCCTCCAAGCTAATAACTCTCAAGTGTCTTAAAACTCACCCTGGTGRTGCCCCACGGTTGACTTCATTCCCTCGTGTTTCTAAGCCACATCACGCTGGCAATGTATCAAATCACCAAAGAAAAGCAAAGAMGAAGCCCTCCTGGATTAAGGGGAGACGCCGTGTGGGTTTGTAACAGAGATGTCAAGGTGAATGCGAAGTGAGAAAAGGAGCATCAATGGCCTTCATTATGGGGAGCAGGTTTCACGAGGCAGGCCCGAGCAGGTCGCAGATTCCTCTGGRAGACTATGAATAGAGCGCCGTGGGAACCTACTTGTCTGCCTCCTGTCGGTTTTCTCCGTATTGACACACGGGGCCGAGCAGCTAAAGGTATGCTGAATGAGTGAACGAGTGACAGGCCCATTGTACTTCGGGGGCAGAAGCAGGAGGATTAGTTCTCTCTTTGGCACTGATGGTCCTCGGCGAGGAGGGAATCTGTCATCGGCAGGAGCTGCAGGTGGTCCAGAGGTCCACGGCTGATAGTGTGTGTGTGTGTGTGTGTGTGTGTGTGTGTGTGTGTGTGTGTG